CATAAAATGAAGAACATTATAGACAACCCTCAGCATCCTCTTCATCAGACTGTCATACAACAACAAAGTGTCTTCAGTCAGAGGCTTCTTCAGAGCCGCTGCAAGACAGACCGCTACAAGAGATCCTTCCTGCCCACAGCCATTAGCATCTAGAACAACTCTTTAATGAAACCAAGATGATGAGTTACAACAACATTTAATGTCCCTCTGGGATTCATAAAGTATTTTTGAATTGAACTGAATTGAATAAACATTAAATACATTTTTTGGTGACAACTCTTGCTAAAGAAGTACAACACCAGCTTTAAACCCATCAAAGTAGCTATTTACAATTTTCCTTAGAGTCAGCTCCATGGTATTGAAGTGGTACTTAACCCACCTTCAGCACCTCTTTAAGGCAGTTGTGATGGGAGGAAATATTGAGTCCCGGTGAAGCTTTTTAATATTCAGGATCCATACCTCTTGCCCACACATCTGAACACTAACTGGGGTTGCTTGGGTACTTCTGATCCCTGACTGGACCAGAGAGCTTCCCTCCAATCGTTCTGGAATGATGGACAAATACCGAGTCCACTTTAAAGACGGCTACAAAGACAGACTTCAAAAGAACGCACAGGATGCACCTTCAACGTAGAAAGAAGCCCCAGCTCATGCGTGTGTGTGGGTATGTGCACAGACACTATGCAAGTGAAAGATGACTACACACTCATAAAAAACTATGAATCACTGTTGCCAAGAGCTGATTAAATAAAATAGTCTTCCGTCAATGTGAGAAAGTGTGATAGAAAAAGGACAGTTGAAAACAGTTGATGAAATTTTAAGGGATAGAATTGCCGAGTGTGCGCATGAATTCATATTAAACACATTCAATAACAAACGTATAGAAGTTCTCACACAGTCATGCAGCCACTCACAAAGGTGAGAAGAATTTGCTTTTAGGTGATTCAGTTAGAAATAGCTTAGCTTTAGGGCGTGTACTGGTAACAATAAGGTAAAACTCCCACCGCATGGTTCTCACAAAGTTCGGAATGAGTGAAAGAAAATCGGTACGATAAGATTATAAAAATTGTTGAGAAAATAAAAAAAACAGAAAGACTGATTTTAACAGTCAGGTGGATTTCTGATGTAAGTTTGAGGTCATTGTTGCAAAAGCAGGCAAGCTGTTCCCCAGATGAGCTCCCCCTTTGTATAAAACCTCCCCCCACTCTGTGGTGCATCTCTGCATCGCTATGCAAATGCCCTGTAATGATCTGAGGCACGCTGGGATGAAAGAAGTAGAAAGAAACTTCTCAGTGCAGCTTTGTGGTGCTTTCTGTTGTTGTTGCTATAGTAACAAAGACCTGGCACTCAATTTGATGCAGCAATGCTTATTTGCATCGCAGGACTAGGTGCTATTCTTTTTAATATTTCCCTACACTTTAAAGAAGATTGTAAACAGGTTGGGTTCCTCTGCTTTCACCAGTTGAATGGATAAACACGTGCGCCCACCACACAAAATCTGGCACGTAGACAGCATCTTGAGCAGTTCTGCTTGTTTAATTTTATCATCTATTCTCCCATACGCACACACACACACACACACATACACACCTGCAGAACTGTCTTGCTTTGACTTTGAAGTTCTTCTGGATCGCCTTTAAAGGCCTTCAGTGTTGCCACAGCAGCAGGCAGGTAGAAGACATCAGAGTGCTTACTGTGTGTGTGAGTGTGTGTATGTGTGTGTGAAGTCTGAGTACTTAATTAGCAAAGTGCCCGGTGGGGCCCGTTGCCGTTTCTCAGTGTTTAACACTAAACGAGGGAACGACTGCCTCGTTACTGATGCTAACAATGAAAATAATTTAAGCACCGACTGATCTGCCTGCTGCGTTTCAGCTCATTCTGTGGTGCTCGGCTGACAATGACAAGAAGCAAGTATGGCCGTCAGTGTCCTCTTGTGATATTTATACTGAATGTTAAAGCACAAAACTCTAAAATAAGTCCTCTTGTTACTGAACACTGACAGAAACACAGAGGAACGGTGATAATAAGATGTCCTACAACTTGAGAGAACTTCATCCTGACAGAATAGAATCAGTTTGTTTGCCAACACATCACTAAAAAGCATTAATAAACAGTTTTTATTAAGCCAATGAAAATGACCAAAAAACACCTAGACTTACTCTATATTCTTATATACATATTCTATATACTCTAATTAATCCCTTGATTGCCTAATACTCTTACAAACAGGTCCAACAACTCTTTGGCTGTTTATTGGTCTGGCCTGTTGTGATCAGTTATGCAGAACACACTCAAGCTTTAAAGGAAATGGCCTCCCTTTCCTTCACCTGTTTGCTCTTGTTTATATGTTTGTGTCAAGCTGGTGTCTGTGTCCAGCAGTCACTGAGCGAAAAGCCGAGTGCTTACAGTAAATAGCTCTATAGAGAAGGAAAGATGAAGCTTTAAATAGTGTCTAAGCTGAAGCCTATACTCTCCAAAAAGAACCTCGAGACAGTGATCCACGCCTTCATAACATCTAGGCTTGATTACTGCAATTCACTTCTGTTTGGAATCAGTCAGTCCTCCATTGCTCGTCTACAACTGGTCCAAAATGCTGCAGCCCGATTTTTAACTGGTACAGGCTATAGAGAGCACATCACGCCAGTTTTGGCCTCCCTGCACTGGCTACCCATTCACCTTCGGATCCATTTCAAAATTCTCATGTATGTTTTTAAATCACTGAACAGTTCCGCCCCATCCTATCTCACTGATCTTCTGCAGCCATATGTCCCACCGCGCTCTCTGAGGTCAGCAGACCAGATGCTTCTCTCAGTCCCAGAAACCCGTCGTAAGCTCAGAGGTGACAGGGCTTTCTCTGTTGCAGGTCCACGACTGTGGAATGAGTTGCCACTGAGTGTCCGGCAGGCTCTCTTTAAGTCTCGCTTGAAGACCCACTTCTATTCGCTTGCCTTTAACACGGTGTGATTTGTTTTGGCCCGGTCTGTTCTCTACTCTGTTGGCCATTTTAGTTAGCTTCTGCTGCTATTTGTATCTGTATTTCTATTTTATGTTTTCCTGTCTGCTGTGCATGTTTGGTTCTTTTGTACAGCACTTTGGTTGGCCTTGTTGCTGTTTTAAGTGCTCTATAAATAAATTGGTATGGTATGGTAAATAGCTTTTTCTTTTAAACATAATTATTTAATTTTAAAAACATTTAACACCCTTACTAACAGCTTTAAATGTAACTTGCATAACAAAACAAACTGTGGACAAAAACAGTTGATTAATTAATGTTAATGAGTTGCATTTTATTCAGATCAAACTGTTTCACTCTCCCTGGTGTTATGCATTTTGCCTTCCCTGCGTGAAGAAGTTTAATTCACTACAATTTGAAGCCCCAGGCTAAGAACCCAAAAACAATGAGGCTCTAGATATTCAGCAACAGTGAATGATTATGTTTTTGACCGTCTTTGTGCGTTTGTGTGTCTGTCTGTCACCAAAATATCTCATGAATCACTGGACAAACTATTAAAACTTGCAGAAAGTAATCACAGGATGCTAATATACAACTGATTAGGTTATAGACTAGAGATGACTACCACAAACAATTCAACTTAAAAAACACAAAACTGGCTATAATTCAGTGAATATTACAGACACTGAACAAAAGTTTGGTTTGGTAGTAGGCGAGTCATCCCCAACACATACTCTCATGAAACTAACTGAAAAGGTTGACCGATAATGTTGCCACAACAATTTGATGTACTGTAATCAAAAAGCTTTACCAGACGTATAATAAAAACTTCTGGTAAAGGTTTTCTTTTATTATTACATTTCTAATTTAACAATATCCCTTAATGTCACTTCAAATAACAAACATTCAAATAAGATGGGGAAAATACAAAGCAATTAAGTTTTCTCTTTGTGTCCAATACATATCAAACATCAGTCAAGGAAAGTTCTGAGCTCAAACACTTTCCAGGTTCTTAGCTTTAGTAATTTCTCTCTTAAAAAAAAAAGATCAAAGAGAGTATAGAGGTTGGCTTGTTAAAACCAAACTCCACCTTAAATCAAGATTCATACTCACTGTTCTTATGATCAAAGAGTGAAGCCATGAGTTATAAACAACACTTTAATAAAGTCTGATTTCACAAAGTGAAGCCATAGAATGTAACTGTGAGAAAAATCTTATGCTTTACAGACATAGGATACAATTAAGGGTTTTGGAATAGAAATAGAAATGCATTAAAGTTGCTTAGATAGTGTTTGTTAAACCTCAATACCCTTTAGTTAAATTATGATCTAATTGACCCACGTCCCACATCTTAGCTCGGTTTACATGAGACTATGCATTTTATAATATAGAGGATTCAGCTGTAAGATTCTGCAGCATAAACACATGCTTGTAAACACAAACAGAAGTACAGTAGTCCCTCGCTACTTTGCAGTTCGTTTTTCTCGGACTCGCTCTATCGCCGTTTTTCAAAGTAAGCTTGGACATGACACACAGTTGGCTGATTGATGGATGAGCTGCACGACAGGCATGAAATTTTTATTTAAAATAAATTATTTTAAATTATTTAGCACCTGCTGCACCTCTGTGCAGCCCACACTGCAGGATAAGCTTCCTCCTGCAGCTGATCAGCTGATCTCCGTGCAGAGCGGAGAAGTGGGCGTGGCCAAGAGCACTTGCAGGTGTCAGGGAGCTGAAATCATGACATTCTGTGCTCTTTTAGTGCATTTAGAGTTTAGAAACAACATTTAGAATTTTGCAAGAGTGTGGGAAGGGTTTATATATATATATATATATATATATATATATATAACTAATTTCTACTTCTTTCTACTTCAGGGTACGGATCCCCCGCGGTAAACGAGGGGCTACTGTAATTACATTGTAAATATTTAGTTTGACTTTGTGATCAGCAGTTTGTAGTAAAATCATTTTTGAGATTTAGCCTGTATATTGCACTAATTATTTCAAGCAACAAAATCTACTACGTTAGTGTTTTTTTCTGTACCTTAGAGATTCTTCTAGTTTGGCAATCTTCCTCTTTGCATCCATTTTCTCCTTCTCTGCCTCGTTGTGAACCACCACCATCTGACAGAGTGAAAGCGTGACAGAGATAGAGGTGCAGAGTGAGTACTAAACCAGGACATAAACATCTGTCAGGAAAACTCTCCTGTCTCCTTTGACCTTCTGCATATGGTCTCTTTTCTCTATTGCATGATCTCAAGTATTATCTGAGTGCTTGGAGGACCTCTCACTGCAGATCTACAGCAGCCATATGTGCCGTTCTCATGCTTTAAATACATCAAGGTCTCTTTTATTGGCCTTATTCAGACAGGAAACAGAAATCTTTCCACAAAAAACTTCATAAAATAAACAACACTTTCTTGTATTGCTTGCTTCCTGTCACCTTGCAAGAAGAAACACAGGAGAAAGGAAAAGTTGAGAGAAATACTGGCTGATTACAAGAAGCAGACATCAAAACCAAAACTCCTGAGAGGCCTAATTGAAATTCTCCCTGAACTTGAATAAAGAACACACATGCCTGCTAAGTTTTTGCAGGTGTATCAGGTAAAAGGGCCCACAGACGTTAGTCTGCCACCAGTATGGCACTTTGAAGATGACCCAGGTGCAGCGCAGCCTTTAAACCTGATCCTTACCCCCAAAAGTCTGGCTTAGACTGGTCTGGTCCAACTCAGATTAATTAACAATGACCTTTGAATTCTGCACTTTATAACTGCTCCCTAACTTTAAAAGATACTTTCTCAAAAGTAAAGAGCATGGGGAATTAGATATTAGCCTTGGTACACAAAAGGGACAGTTAAAATAGCACAAGGTTCTCTTCTCCAGCATACTTTAAAGTTAATTTTAATGTACTCCTGTTTGAATGTTTTAGTGTAACAGAAACAAGGAACACTACCTTTTTCTCACAGCTGACCTGCAGTTCATCTTTTTCCTGCTGAAACTTCATCTCCTGATCCTGAAAGAAAGCAGAGCACTAATGCTAAAGTGCAGCATAGACACTAGCATGCACACATTAATTTTTTTTTTTAATTTGTGCATAGATCTGCCACCATTCAAAACCATACCCTGACTTGTTGGTGTCTTCGATGCTCACTGTCCTGGAGCTGCTGTTTGAACCGAGCCACAGTCTTCTCCAAGTCTTCTATCACATTAAAGGCCTGCAGGAGAAAATGGATATAAGGAAAAAAATAAATATCTTGCATCAGTCTTCTGGGGAAAGGCTGTGTGTGTGGCTAATATGAACCTTAGCAGCAGACAGAGCATGTTCCTGATGTAAGTGACTAATATCGGCTTCGTGTTTGGCTTGAAGCTTCTGTAAGCTCTGCTCATGTTGCTCACTCTGCTGCTCCTTCTCCTTCTGCAGCAGCAGCACCCTGCACACATTTAACAGCTGGATTAGAATTACATCTTTGTTCCTCTTATACAGTCTTTCAACTGCATTCATTGCACTCTGACAAAGTCTAAATGTTGTGCATGATTATAATTAAGCAGTTTTAGAGCTTGTATCCTTTTGTCACCACTGTATTTCTTTCATCTGCCTTTATTTCACATAAAAAGCTCCATACCGTCTGTTAGCTTCTTGCAGTTCAGCACTGACGGATGCAGTGTGGATCTCCAGCTGTGCCTTTTCCTGAGTGACTCTCTGACGCAGTGAGTTGCCCTTTTCCACCTCCACCGATTGCTGCCTCACACGCGTCTCCAGCTCACGCACCATTTGCTCCTGAAACACAAGGATGCACAAAAACCACAACGTGAAACAGCTTGAAATTACTCAGGGAACATGTATGAGATGACATCAAGGGTTGTTTCTAAACTAAACACAAAAAGTATGCTGGTAATATGTGGTGAAAAGTGTAGCTAGCGGGTCCTTTAACTTTGTTCCTTCAGCATAAGTGCTGTCACTCTCAAAGGATGTCGTGAACTCTGCTAATCAAAATCAAAGATTCTGTTTAAACAGATCAAGTTTTGTGCTGATCGTCTTCAAAGAAATGCAAAAAAACCCCCAAACAACAAATAAATAAAGTAACTTGACTATGCTACATTTGTTCACAGCCTAAAGCATGTTTCAAACTCAAGGCCCGTGGACCAGATCTGGACATATAATAACATTTTATCTGGCCCCAAATAAATATTTAATATGTTATTAGATTTGGCCCATTAACCTGGGACAGATTAAGGTCAAGGTCAAGGCTCTTAATTGTCATTCGCATAACATGTGGTACATGAGGTGGAACAAAATTGTGTACACAGAGTCCCAGTTACATCCAACAATAGCAAAAATATAAATTGTAAAAGAAACAGTACTAAGATTCTAAGATATAAACTAAGAAATACATAAACCAAGAACTATGCTAAACACTTAATAGTGCAAAACAATATGCCGAACAACAGCAGCACGAACATGAGTGTAATCAGATGAGTACGAATGAACACAGCAGCATGAAATAAATCAGCAGCATGAGATCAGCAGCATGGATAATCAGCAGCACATAACAATCAAAGTGGCATTACAGTGACTTTTTTTCCCACAGTGATTATTCTGGTTAGAGATTCATGAGTCTAACAGCCTCAGGGTAGAAGCTGTTCCTCAGTCCAGTGGTTCTACACTTAATGCTCCTCAATCTCCTGCCTGAGGGGAGTGGGGCAAAAAGTGTGTGAGCTGGGTGAGTGGGGTCCTTCATGATGCAGGTGGCTCTCTTCCTGCATCTAGAGGTGTAGATGTCTGTGATGGTGGGAAGGCTGACTCCAAGGATCTTCTGTGCAGCCTTCACCACTCTCTGCAAAGCTTTTCTTTCTGCAGCTGTGCAGCCTCCATGCCACACGATGTTGGAGCACATGCTTGAGACCAAATAGTTTGCCTATTAGTTTTTTTCTGTAATCTCTCTTTAGTTGTCTTAATTAGTAGCAGAGGTTAGGATTTTTATAAATCATTTAATCTGATAGATTGTGATAAATTGTGTTACTAAGAAATAATAAATAAAAAGGCTGAAGATGCAGAAAACAAGGAATAGAAAATAAATATTAATGATGCTCTGATGTGACACAGTAGCACACCCCACCACCCCCGTAACAGAGTTGACACTCCTGATCTCAAGGACTTGTTCATCATACATTTGGCACAGACTTTCTACAATTCCAGTAACATCACAAAAAATAAAATCAGAGGGTTTTAACAACTAGTATTAACGTTTCAAGTACATGTAGTACTGCTGTAGTTCCCATCATGCGTTTGTCTCCTTGACCACAGAACCATCTCTGTACAAAGTGCTTTTATTTTTTTATTTTATAATGGGCAGCAAACTCAATCTAACCACAATACATAAATAGATGCTCACAAAGTTATTTTATTTTTTTTCTGCTGAAGTTTTACATTGCATCAGAAAATAAATAAAATATGTAATCGTTTGACAGCAACTGGAAAACTACTGTGAAAAGTTATACAACGTTTGTGCCATGTATATTTTTTCAATATTTTGATATTTTACTTTTGTTCTACTTAACTTTCTACCATGTTTTTATTTGAATCTGCTTTAATAATAAAAAGGATGACTCAAAAGGTTTTGGAATATTCACATAATGGCTGTAAACCGTATTTACAGTTAACCAGGCAGGCAGGATAGAACTGTCAGATACGTAGGTAAATGAAACTGTCATCACACTGAAAACAGAGCACAGGAAGAAGACTTATCGGAGTCCCTTGATGTTTCACAGTTGCAGATGTAAAAACCTGCCAGCACTAATGTGCCTCACATGGGTGTGTTAGAAAAACACAGTTTTAATGTACAAGAAACCAACACTACCAGTTAGGTTTTAAACCTCTATACCAAGTCACTCAAGACTGCATTTAAGATTAATTTAGATTTTTCCACTGTATATTATTTTAGGTGTTTCAAAAGCTCCATCTGAATCCGATTTTCAATTAAGGCAACAATCAGAACATCTTCTAGCTGTTTTCAATAAAAATAATGTTTTTTCCTGCTACTGTCCCTCAGCATGTACATGTGTCTTATGGAACGTGGTCCAGGCAAGTTGATAAAGGATGGAACGTGCTAGTCGATCTAGATGTTGACAGGAGCTGGCGATGACAGCAGGTGGAACGACGAGGGAGGAGGGAAAGGGAGCGTTTGAAAAGAATGCGAGAGCAGAGCTGATCAAGGCTGGCGAGAGGGATTCTTGTCTTTGTGTCAGCAGCACGGGGTGTTAAGAGAAGAAACAAGGGGCTCTGTGTTGTGTTGTGTTGTGCTGGGACACGTGCTGACACCCGGCTCCCTGGCAGTAGATGAGAAGAGGCGCGTCTGCATACTGAGGCTTGACTGGGCACACCTGGACAGGCTCCGGGGGAGCAGATCAGGTCCAATAATTAGGTGTTTAAGAAGGAGAATTGCTTTTTTTTTGTGACATGAAGATTATATAAACTACATCATGAGCTCTGCTCCCTTTCAAAGATATAAAGATAAAGTCTTTGAAGTTTCAGCAGTAAAGTAGTTTTACTGTGAAGGACATCCATTTACAGTGTTTGTGGACTAAGGCCAGCAACTGGAAAGCAGCCTGCATCAGCAGCCATCTCCTGAGGCTCGCCAAGCTGTGTGCATGAATGTATAATGTTGATTAAACTCTGGAAAGAGAGTCAAGTCACGAGAAATGGAGAGGATGCCATAAGAGACGATAAACTTTTAATAAGGCTGTTTTTACAGTAAAATGTGGTAATTGCTTAGTCAGAGATTTTACCTGCAAGTCGAGCCTCTATTCTAACTTATACTATCTAGGTTTGTAAGAACAGTTGTTGAATTATGAATATGACTTCAATAATGCCTGCTCTAATGAGCATTAGTTTACATTTTAGCCATCACAATGGTACAAGAAACAGCAGGGGTTTTAGTACTATTGCAAGTTTTCTGCACCTGGTAATAAAACAAACAAAACAAAACAAAAAAAAGGCTGAGACAAAAAGTGTCATTTCACTGCACTGCTTCTGTCCTTTTGCTTGTGCCTTGAGATGAAGTTGCCTCAGATAGTTAATCTACCCCAACACAAAAAATAAAAAGAAACAAACCAACTGAAGAACTAAGTTTTCCATAAACACAAAGAACTGACAAAACAGGGAACTACTGATGTACGTCCAGCTGGTTATTTTACTGTAAGCCTCCTATGACCATCAACCTCTGGTGCTGACGAAGACAACCCTGATGATCAAGAAATGTGTCAGATCGGTGAAAGGCAAAGTGTCACTATACGTAAAAAAGTACTTTATCGTTTATTTTTTCAACCTATTTAGGATTAGTTCTTATTTCAATTCAAAAGTCCCAAACGGTTGATTATGCTTTGTAAGTTTGTAATCAAGTTATTGGGCTAAAAATAATCTTAAAATGACACAGGAAAAATATAATATTAAAAAATAATGATATTTTATTCTTTGCTCAATATACAAGTTATTAACAATTACAATTATTTTTAATTAATTAAACTCAGGTCTATCTTGAACATGAGTCCTTGTGACTCACTATCTGTATAAAGAAAGGTTAAATAAAATAAAAATAAAATTGTTTCATTTTTAGAAGTGCACTTCACAATCCCAAAATGTTCAGCACTTGGATAAAGATTTTTTTTAAACAAAACCAACCAAATAAAGATGATTTCAGAATGGGAATTAGATAATTTATAGCAAGCAGTTAACACAAGCACATGATTAAAGTGATCGAGCCTTCTTGCCCTCAGTGTCAATAAGACAATATTCAACAAAGATAATAAAACACATTTGGATTTTAAGTTATTGTTAAGTCAGAGACAGACTGAATAAAAAAATAAAACACAGATTACAGTAATGTGTCTGAACCGGTGAAAGACAGACAGATTTGCTCACAGTTTTGATTTTTTAACCTTTTTGAGCAAATGTGAAAAATATCATTGTTGCACTTGGCCATGTTACGTCTGCTTATGAAAATGTTCTTGTCAGAGTGCAAAATTTTGATGAAAATATATATGCACATAAATCAACAATTACATCATGTGTCATTTACGAAGCTCTGAGTCCAACAAACGATCTACAAGAACATGCACAGTCCATTGTAAAAATAATTACTGTAGAAAAAAAGCCAAGTTTTGCATGATATGGCTGTTTGTTGCTGTGCACAGCAACAACTGGAGGTGACTTTGTCGAAGAGGTTATCAGTTCGTATATATCTTTATTATATAAGTGGCTTTAAGAATCTGTTGGACTCCTGGCAGGGACTAATGCAGACATGCTCCTGTTTTTAGTTTTCTACATTTGCCTTAGAATCTAGCTGTTTTTTGTTACCTTTTTCTTTTAGCCATCCTATTTGTTAAAAATAAATAAATAAATAAATAAACAAACTGTAGTATGACTTTTATAACTGTTTATTGTTGTTGCTGTTGTCCATTGTTGTTGTCATTTTTTGTTGAAATCAGGTCTCTCTTGTAAATGAGTCCTCGAGGCTCAATGGGATTTACCTCTCTAAACAAAGGTTGAATGAATGAATGAATGAATATCTTATCTTTATATTTATATATTTATACCCACATATAAAAAGGTTATACACTAAATAAATACTGTCCTTATTTTTGTTTTGTGGCTGTATATAAGAACTGCATTGTTACAAAAATAAAACGTGTCATAAGTAAATTGCAGGCTTTTTAATTCACAAAGTCATTTTCTTTTTAACTTTACTCTAATTTGAACTGTTCCTGATAGATTAATAGATCAGTGGAGTTTTGAAGTCCCATCCACAGAACTACTAAATCTAAATTATCACCAGAGGCTTAATTGCCCCAGATACTAAATCGGACTCAAAGAGATCCTGCAGCTGCTTAAAGTCCAATTTAACACTGCTGTCCACAGTATGTCTGTAGCTCAGGCCAGCATTACAGCAGGAAGACACCTAATTCCCAATGACAAAGGGCTTGTTTCATTTTTTTGGTCTCTGTCTGTCCTTTATTATTAAAGGGGAGGTCTTATCATTGGCTCCACACCATCTAGTCTCTGATGCCTCTTAAATGCAGGCCTGTTGGCAGATTAAGGCCAGAAGAAATAGGTGTGACATGGATGAAAATCCTGGAATGTTGATACAGATCGTAATTATATCTTACATGTAATGTAAGGATAGAAAGCCCACATAGCATACTATATAAAGAACAGCACATTTGACTGGTGTTGATGATCCCAGCTAATGAAATGTGTACAATCCTATTGGAAACCAGTCTTTTCATATAACATCAAAGACGCTGCAGATTTGAGGTGTGTGTGTGCGCGCACGCATATCTTTGAAGACAATCATAGCAATGAGTAAGATTTAATATGGACTAAGATCAAAGGCGTTTAAAGCAATGACAGGCAGAGAATATTGAAGTTACTCCCATTCAGATGTTAAAGGATGCCTCCCTTCATTTAAACCAATATAAAATAAGGTAGGTCAGTGTTTTCTTATTAGGTTTGTTGATGGGTGTATACATTTGGAGTTACACAAGACAGAGTTAGATATTGTAATCTCCTGTACCTCACTGTAAAAATGTGAACGTTTTTCACAAACATTATATAAAAGGTAGGGTGGACAAGCGTACCGAGTGTCAGGAATTTAAATTAGATCAGTTTGATCTTGAATGTGTCACGGTCAGTGCAGGGTAGGTTGGACCCAACGTGCAGGCAGACACAGAGGGACTTCAAAGGTAAACTAAAAACTGATTGATTTTAAATGAACGAGAACAAAAAGCCAGCGTGGCAGCAACAAACTTAAAAACTCAGGAGGGAAAAACACAGAGAGCACGAGGAGGACCGAGACATCTGAACATCTCAGGAGCTGCTGGAGTGGTAAAGACTGGTAATATACGAACTGAGGGAGGAAAGTGGAAGCACCTGGACTAATTGCTGATTAGGGACAGGTGAGGGCGGGGACTAACTGGAAAAATACTGTGGAAGCTGACAAATGAGATATAACACTGGAAAACATGAAGACAAGGATTAATCTAAATAAGATAAACTGAAACGCGAGCGGATAAGAATCTAAACTAACAGGGAACAGACAAATAACAGAAGCTCACAAACAAAAAATCTCCAAGAACATAAATAAACTCAAAGACTCACCAAATAATCAAAGCAAAAACAGACCGATAGGACAGAATGATTTTCATTTGAAGCAGGTTAAATTAGGAACAACAAACAGTTGCATATAAATCACATGTGTTGCAAACAAACTCTTGCCTAGATTATCGCCACACTGTAGCCTGCTGCTGGACTGATCATTGAATCAAAGGAGAAACGAGCTCTGGATCAGTTTACATTAAAATAAAATGAAAATATGTGCATACAATGTTCTTAAATTAAAGAATAATGAGATTATTTCTGAATATTTGTAGTGTTTTGTTCAGTAATTTATAGAAGATTGAAACAGGTGCAGTTAAAATGTGTCAATAAAATGAGGTGAATCCAAACAGTTAATGGGTTTCATTATGTAAATGTAGTGAATAAAAATACTGAAAATATGTGGACTGTAGTGGACTTTGGAGAAAAATAAAGCAGGATAAAAAGGTACTAAAGTACAGTGTGTAAGTAAATGCTCTTAGCCAATTCCCTTCATTGAACACAAACACTCACACATGTATCACTACTTACTGTGGCCTGTGCACGAGCAGTATACTCCGTCTCCATCTTAGCCAGTCTCTGGTTGGTGTCTTCCAGCAGCTCCTGGATATTTTCTGTGTGTTTCTTCTGCATTTCAAACTTTTCTTGCTCCATTTCTGCCATAGCAGCATGCAGCTGAGAGGGCAGAGGAAAGCTGATTTAGTCACAATTTTACTGTAATATTAGCAAATTTGTTGTATTTATTTCTAAATTACAACCATAGTTCTGAAAAAGTTGGCACATTGTGTAAAATGTACATAAACATGGAATGCAACGATTTATAAATCTCATAAGTTCTTAATTTATTCAAAATGGAACATGATAAACATGTCAAATGTTTAAATAAAAAGCACTAGTAGTTTTGATAATGATGGCAGCAACACGTCAACAAAACAACAAAAGGCTGTAAAAGTTACATGGCACAAATAAAAAGCAGAAACGAACTGGGTTAACTGGCACCAGGTCAGTAAGACCTGGTGCCTTAGAGGACTGGGAATAAGACGAGAGGCTGGATCTTTCAGAAGTCAAGATGAAGAGAAGTTCACCAGTCTGCAAAAAACTGTCTAAAAATAGTGAATAAAATATTGATTTCTAAAACTTGAAAATTATTGCACTATGCTTTTATTTACATTTTATACATCACCCCATCTTTTTCATTATTTTGTTTATATCCTGATGCATGCTCAATAATCCAGGTAGAAAAATCTAAAAAAGTTAAATCTGGTCCTCTGGACATTTAAAAAAACAAAGCAAAACAACAAAAAAAAGTAGAAACGTTTCGTCTTTCATCCGAAAGACTTCTTCAGTCTGAGGTGCTGTATTCAGCTCAGTCTTATAAATAGCCCCTTCTCAGAGTGGATCAACCAGTTTTGCTGCTGACAACCAAAACATCATGTGATCATGTGAGCAGCTGGTTTTGGTTGTCAGCAGCAAAACTGGTTGATCCAGAGTGGTGGCGCAGAGGTTAGAAGATGGGCTTGTGATCGGAAAGTCGCAGGTTCACCTCCCGGTACCGTCAACATCAAAATGTGGGTGGAAAAGGTGAAACACCCACACCTGCCTCCACCCTCATTCGCCCCACTCTGGGCCCCTGAGCAAGGCCCTTAACCCCCACCATCTGCTCCCTAAACAGGTCTCTCTTGAAAATGAGTTCTCGTGGCTCAATGAGACTACCTGGGTAAATAAAGGGTAAATGAAAAAAATAATAAATCATGTAAATAATATCACCGTAGTCAATGGAGGGAAGGAAAGTCACAGTTACAAGGCATTTCCTAGCATTCAGAGTTAAACAAGAAAGAAACCCAGTTTTACTTTCAATTTATTTAACAAGTTTTCGACATAAAAGCGAGATGCTAATCGACCAAGATACCCAAGTATTTATAAGAATCGACAAACTCAATAGGAACACCATTTGAAGATAAAATAAAAGGAAGGCTTGCTGGTACCGACTTCCTGTTTGAAAACAACATCCCTTTGGTTTTATCAGCATTTAGCAGAAGTTTGAGATGGAACAAATCTGACTGGATGATGTTGAAAGCAGAATGTAAAAGCTGGAAACCCTTAGCAACTTTTTTAAAAACTGTTTTAGCTTGACAGTAAACAACTGTGTCGTCAGCCTAAAAACAAGGATGCATCAGGAATGATCTGATCTACATTACTTATGTAGACTGTGAAGAGGGTGGGTCCTAAGACCGAACCTTGTGGTACACCATTGTTAACAGTTAGATAACTGGAAGTAGTACTGTTATATTGAACACACTGCCTTCGATCTGAGAGAGAATTAGAGAAATAACCAATTGTGTGAGCTGAGAAACCAGTTTCTGAGAGCTTATGAGACATTATGTCATGGTCCACAGTGTCAAAAGCTTTAGACAGGTCTAAATAAAGTGCAGCACAATAATCTTTATCATCCAGTGCTTCAACAACATCATTAAAAACCTTCAGCAAAGTTAAAAATAAAGTTAAAATACAACAATCAATAAAAGTTTAATTAATGGTTCCATCCTTTTTTTTTTTAAGAACAGCTGACTGTATGACTTTCTTGCATAGAAATAGTTTACATTAACCATACGTTAACCCGTTGCTTCCCGTTGGCTTGGAACACCTCAACAATGTAGGGCTTTAAAGTTTCACACCTTCTTCTCCCACTCGTTTTTTATCGAGTCGGTGCTCCGATCCGACATCATCTTCAGCTCCTCTATCTGCCTCTCTTTGCTCTCGCAGATGACCTGAGATTCCCGCAGCAAACTTTGAACTGTGGGAGAGCAAAGACGCAAACGCTTAGAAAGCAGTCACGTCTTGCCTCAGGGTATAAACACATGGATACGCACAGAGAGACGTGCACATTGGTGCACTGATGAGCTGCCTGTTAAAGTGTGTCAAAACAGATTTACTTCTTTAAAAATGGCAAGTTTTGCAACTAAATTTATGTTTTTTGTTTAAGCACTTTTGGAGTAGGATAAAAAGTGACATTAGGGGGAGAAGCCCACAAATGGAGAAAAAAACATCTATATAAAAAAAAACACAAATTATGTGATTAAACTTTTGACTGAGCAGCACAGCTGGAGAACATCAGTCTACACCAGCAGCCTCTCACTGAATTGTATCTTTCTGGGCTTTTTACTCTGAGTGTTCAGAGACACTTCTATAAACATCCTTCCAGTGAACACCACAATCATCTCTCACCTTTCTTTTCCAGCTTTCGGATCATCTCCTCTGATTCTTTCTGCTTGGTCCGGAACATGCTCTTTACCTCTTCAATCTCACGATTTTTTCGGTCCAGTATCTAAAGAATGTAGAAAAGAAAGTATTTGTTTGGCTCTTTATTTTGTTGTGTTGTTCTTTTTTATGATTTAAGACTTTTTGACTTTCATTCTACTGGAGCAAACCAAAAGTCATCAGTGAACAAGTTTATTAAGATAAAACTCAGAAAAAACATTTTGTTTAATTTTGATTAATATGGTGTTTCTTCTCAAGCTGAGTTGACTTAAAGGATGTGTTCTATACAAGGACATCTGTGCAGCAAATTCCCAAATGACCTGAAAAAAACTCCTCCTTCCTATGCCTATCTATTCCTTAGGAGGCTGCAGGCAAACGGAGGAAAATGGCAGCTGAATGAACCACCTGTGCAGAGGTGATGAAGTAAATGCATCTGCTTGCTGCTGCCATCTGGACGTAATTAGTTAAATTAGGCGAAGAGTTGCAGCTCCAGTTACAGAAACACAGCCTACCACTCTTGTTCTCAGTTGAATAATGTGCACATGCTGTATATATTGTGTGATTGGCCGCACCTTTTGCTGAGATGGTCAAATTCAGGATTTCTTTTGAAAAGTTCTGGAAGAGCTACACTTTTAGACACAACAGAACAATCATTTATCTGTTTTAGGCATGCATCTCACAACACAGTATAAACTTATGTATGCCAACCACACACAGTGGGTTGATATGGTTTTCTGTCTGAAATGACAGAAAGACAAAAACGAGTTTTTGTTTGTTTATAGACCCCTATGAAGCCACTTATTAGCCCAGCCTGCCATCATCTGTGTGTGAATAGGTTGGGGTAGATGAAAGGACGATTGGGCGCCTGGAGCAAAGGTCACAAAACATTTAGAGATAACCCATTTTCCCCCTCCATTTCACTACCCCAAAGAGACTTTTGTCTTTTAAGGGTTTGCCAGATAAGGTGATGTCACAGTGTCAGGTCTATAAAAAGTGGGCTAGACGGTGGGAAATGGCAGCTTTTAGGGTGCCTAATATAGAATTTTATAAGACATCCTAATGCAGTGGGAGTTCAGCTTGGCTAACTAAAGTTTTAACAAGTGACTGAACTAAAAAAAAAAAAAACCTGAAATACCCTAAAAATAAATAAATACTCCAGTAACAAGAAAAGTGTGAATATCTGCCATAACATTACAATCCATAGAGAGGCAAAATAATAAACTAATTGCATTTATTAGCAAACAACACTCTGGGCTGTTCTCTTATTAGCCTCCTCATTTTCAGAACATTAACAATTATCAGTATGGAGCAAGTCAGCGGGGGAGAGGGCGGACTCCAGAAACCATCTTAGCACCATCAAACTGGTTGACCTACTATGTGAAAGTGATATTTATAAGGCTGAGTTTGTTGTGGCTCCTTGGACTGATGAAAGTTTTTGGATGAAAGACGAAACGTTTCAACAAAAAGAAACCGTCCAGAGGACCTGACTTAACTTTGTTGGAATTATCGGTATCTTTTTTTCAGTTTACGCCTCATTCAAGAGCAAACAAATACAAAAAGATCAACATTGTCCATCTTCCATGAAACGTATTAAAGCATATCTTTGAAAAAAATCAATAATTTTTCTAGTCATGAGTAAATATTGCTAAATATTCACAGAAAATTAAACTGGCCATAACTTCCAATCTGAGTGAAAGCATAAAAGAAAATGATCCGTCATCCTAGCTCCTGTTAAACACAAAAACACAACGAGCATCTTGAAGTGGAGACAGTTTCTTCATGTTTCAATAAATGCTTCTTTGGCAGCAAAGGAAAGTCAAAGCAAGGTTGGACAGACTCCAGGTGGCTGAGATGAAGTGCATCTAAATGGCACCTAATGTGAAATAAACCAGCTTCACGGCTGCTTTCACCAGATCACATGCAGCTTTGAAAAAGTAAAGAGAAAAATTCTAATTTTTTCTTGTTAACAAAAAGTGTTTAAACAAAATTAGTAGGAACTGTATCAAAAGCTAAACAGACTTCACAAGTCTGGTAGATTCGAGAGTCTAGGATGGTAAGAACTGTTAATATAAAATAAATGCTAATACTGACCGGGGATTTTAGTACCTTATATGTTACACCATTTCCTCGTAAACTTGCGGCTTGATGTCACGAACATAAAGATGGTACTCAAAGACAAGCCAGAGCCAATTTAATGTCTGAACCAATGTTTTAAACATTAAAAAAAAAAAGTTTTAGACTTAGGGTTTGCAACAACACAATAGCAAAGGTTAAAATATACAGCTGCAAAGTTTCTCATTTTCATTCTTGCCTTTTCAACATCTGCATCGTGTCTCTGCTGCATCCTCAGTTTCTCCTCCTGATGTTTCGCCTCCAACACTTTTATCTTCATCTCAGTCTGAGAACACACAAAGCCAAATGTCACACACAACATCAGCGACACTTTCACATAATTAGTTTCCATATATGATGTTATTGAGCAAAATTATCAGTTACCCAACAACACGGTTTGTTAATCATTTTCTCTCAATGACATAACAGAATACACATAATTTTGAATAAAATGGTAAGATAAACTAGCGCGATCTTGTAAGAACCAGTCAAGTACATTACCTGTTAAATAAAATCATATTTATAAAAATATTGATTTTAGATCGTAAATTATAAGAAAACATCTACCGGTAGTTTGAACGCATTTAAAAAAAACTATAAAAAACCAGACTCTTCTTGTTTTCAGCATCCTAGCATTTAAAGATCATGAATTCAAAAATTTTAAAAAATACTTAGCTTCTGTCAAAATTTACACATGTAAAAAAGGGGTTACTGCTGGAAGAATAAAAGAAAAATATAAGTAAGAAACTTACTTAGTTATAATAAATAAATAAAAAACCACTGCCTTGAATGCCAATGTTTTAAACAAAGATGAGCATGATCAGTTAGCGCTCAGGGTATGAGATGGGTATGACTCTCAGTTAAAACCACACTAAAGCTCAACAGCTCAAAAAAATAATTATAAATATTTTGGGGTATCTGAAGATTAATTAGCTGTGCCAGCCACCTTAAAGCAGGCTGACGACCAAAGATGATCAGCTGTACATGTACATCCAATTAAAACTTTGAGTGTTTGATTAAAATATGTCCACTGGTTCACTGGATATTTTGCCAACAGACACTGTAGACAGATACAAGCAAATGTGGCAGCTTCTCTTTCATGGTGGTGGGCAATAGTAATTTGGGTTAGGCGGGTGTGGGGGTTTTCAAGCAAAATATACCTTTGTGAGTAAAAAAATCACTCCCAGTTTTTTGGCTTTTTAACTCTAACTCTTCAAAAAACGGTTTATGCCAATAAAGAATGTTTGTGTTGTGTGTGAGGTTTATACCCATCACACATGTGCATATTTGCCTTGCGTTTCTATGAAGTAGTAATTTAAAGAAATATATTGACACCATGTAGCAACCTGGCATGCTAAAGATCATGCAACATGTTAGAGCAGGGCTATTCAAATGGTGGCCCGGCGGCCAAATCAGGTACTCAGGTCGGCCCACCAATGGGTTCATTTTTAAATAAAACTAGATTTTAAATCATAAAACAAACTTAATAGGAATAACAGCTGGCCTGCCCCTAAGCTCTTGGCTTTCAGTAACTTTTGTAAATTTAGTGACTGCAGATGCAAATTAGCTTTTGTTATAATCTGGTACAGCGCATCAAATGGTGACATTTATGTTTGAGTTGTACATTGTCCCTTTTAAAATAAAGTTCATTAAAAAAGATTCTATTGAACGACTTAAATAAGTGACATTTCTGCCCACTGCCCCGTTTAGACTGACTTCAGACTATATCATTTCTGCCATATGTTTAGCTGATTGTAACAATAACTGAGTCAAGAATGAATTGGTTTTTGTGGAAATTTTCTACGGCTTAATCCGATTATAAGCATTTTGTCACCTTCCATCACTTCCATGTTTTCATTTGATCTTTAAAAAATATATTTTCCTTTTTTCCCCAATGCTGCTGTCTCTAATTAGTTTGCTTAGAAGATGCTTTTCCCCACAAACACACAACACATGGAGACATACAGAAAACCTTTGACAGGAAAAAAAAAACAGTCACTTGCTTTGAAGTCGCTTCTTAAGTTCAGTCAGTATATTTTCTGGGGTGTTAATCAAACTTTCAGCAGAGTGACAATGTTTCTTCATTTGGAAATAAACGTGTGTGTATGTGTGTGTGTGTGCACGAGCAAATCAGTGGTTAACAACATCCTGAGGCTAGATCTTGCTTGTTCTAGTCATCAAAACCATTAAGCAGAAAAATTCCCTAAACATTACTTGGCAGAGCAAAACCTCATTAGACCTCCTCCCTTAAATATCAAAGCAAAACAAACGTTTTATCTGAATAAAAAATATATTTAAATTGCCATATGTCAAGGAAAAGAAAATATGAAGATGTGGGTAATACAGCAAAGACCAGGTCATATTTTTCAGTTTCTCACTGATGCATGTCTGTTTTTGGCTAAAACTGATCTTTTGACTCTGGCTGGTGTTGATATGTCTGTTTTCTCTGAGTCTTTTGTTAAGAAAATGTCTCTTTTATGTTGTCTTTTATTGCCTAATTATCAATATGCAAAATATTCACATCAGGTTTTCCAGACACATATTTTTGCCACAACACAGTGTTGTTTAAGCACATAAATACTAACACAATTGATAAAGTGATCAACATTGTAGTGGATATTGGGGGGGGGGGGGGGGTGATGTAGCCATGCTCTGGAACTGAAATGATGAAATCAATAAAACATAAGAGCTTAAGTTTAGTTCAGAAGTGAGCAATTCCCGTCACATTCTGAGCCCCGTTCAATATAAAAGTCCAAATAAAATGTTTAAATTGCCTTCTGGCTGCCTCTCCTCATTACAGCACTTGAGCTACATTCAGACTGTATCGTTGACAAAGCTCTGTTAAGTACACTGCCCTTTCTTCTCTGTGTTTTTTCGTGATTTACTGCTATTTCTTGTGCAATTGAGGGGACCACGGGAGACCTGTCAGAGTCAAAAAGAAAAAGTCAAAAAGAAGTGAGAGACAGACAAGGGAAGAAAAGGGGAGAGAGAGATGGCAGTGATTGAAAAGCAAAAGAGTAAGTAGAGACCTGATTCTGCCGGTGCCTACAAAAAAAATGAAAGAAGAAAAAAATAAATCATGTGGGGGTGTCACTTTCTTATATTCTCTTCAAATGCTCTTTGGAGAAAGTTTGTCAAACTAGATCAGTGGTATTTGAAACTTGTTTATAAAGGCGTCGGTGAAGGGAGGAGGAGGAGGGATGTCGTACACCTAAGGCTTCTGAGATGTCTTCAATCAGCCCGACTGGGTGGTACAGCTTTTCCCCTTTTCTCTGCTCCTGAGTTGAAGCGAGCGCTGTAAGATGCCATGTTTTTTGACACCTCGCATTTGAGAGGATGAGAGGGGTAGATGGGGGGTGGTGGTTGGGAGGATATGGGAGAGCAGGAATGTGAGTAGAAGACAAAAACAGTTGCTTCTGCTTTCAAAACCGGCATGGGGGTCAAGACCTTTTTCTTTAGAAGGATACGTTCACAATTCCCCACTAAATGTTTGAGCTTGGCAAAACAAGCACTTGTGCATTTCCTTCTTCCTTGAGATGTACAATGTCCTGGTGTGTCTTTCATCCCCAGTAAACACAGATGCTGTAGGATAGGCAGCATGTGACAAGGAGTTATCTACTGAAGAACAGCTAGATGCCATTTCCACACTGCCAAGAAGTCCAGATAAAATGGCTGGATATAAACTTAGACTAAAATGTATCCTCTTAGGTATGAAAAAATATATTCTCATGGTTTATGGCAACTGTTTCTTCTGAACAGAGACAGAAAGCGAATAGCTTTCAAATTCTCTAAAACAAAAATAGAAAGAAGGAATTCAGAACTGGGTAGACATGTTTGAAATAGTAATTTTAGTATTATGAAACACTGCAAATCCCTTATGGCTCCCAGCCTGAAGCACCATCTTGAAAGCCAACTGCAGAACTAGTCCCCTTTAAAACTACTGAGACTCACAAGGTTACTCTTTTTTAGCTTTCAAAAGCGATCAGATAAGACAGGCCATGGCCCTCTAAATCACAGGCTCAGAGCTCAAGCTCCGATCCCAGAGGATGCTTAGATTAGAGAGACTGCATCATTATGGCATCAGAAAGCGAAGAGGTCTGATCCCCAGTCGTGGACTTGCGACCATTAGACCGTGACTGCTTGGCGAAAACACACTCAACTGCTGCCAACTATCTCTCAGGTCAGGTACCATGGGAATCACTTGTACACACAAACTTTGAGAGAAAGGCTGCATGATTTAATCATTCTGACACTATCTTCTGTAATCACTAGCCGTGAGCCTATATTGAGCTAAAACTGACTCATCAGTCACTATTTAATTGAATTTCCAAATAAAGGCTCAGCCCTCCTAACACTAAGCACTTTTAGTATGTGCTGTAGGATTAGAAGGACTTTGCTGGTCCTGCAAGACATTCTGCACAACTAACCAATACGCAGGCACGTTTGTGTAAGATAAGTGACTCTTATAGCTTGCAGTTACGTTTCCAAGCTGTCACTAAGTTTTCCATTGAAAAAAAAAGCACTGCACTTTTATTATTGCTGTTGTCAGATTAGTGGGAGGATGAGTTTGAAGTGAAACTCAGGATGTTTGTTAAGCTTCTATCAGCTTAATAACATTGGCACAAAGATGATGTCACTTAGCTTTACTGCATACCAAGACATAACGGCCATGCTTCAGTGAAGATGGACTTAGTCTCAATTGTTCTGGCTTTCCATCAGTGAATGCCCTTGAGCCATAACTTTCTGAATGGTATAAACAGTCTTGATGAAGGGTACATCAAAGGCATTTTAGGTATGAATCTCCCAATGGCTTTGGTCACTCTCACCACATTCAGCAGTCTTCCTGTCAGTTACAATGCAGCTGCCGTATCAAGATGTGATGGATGTGATGCAGCAGATGGCCCAAAGATTTTGTGATACTGATTTGGAGACAAATTATTGTCTCTACACTAGCGTACTAATTGTTCCCCTCTTCTCTTTAGTTGTTTCATCATTGTTGCTAATGACTCCCACCATCGTTGTGTCATTAGCAAATCTAATGATGTGATTAGTACTAAAAATGGCCTCATAGTCATGTGTCAGCAGAGTAAGGAGCTGTGGGCTGCACACACATCCTTGAGGATTCCCTGTGCTCACTTTGATTGAGGGTGATGCTTTACTGTCAACAGGTTCTTTTGTCTTTCTGACAGGAAATCCAAAATCCAGTTAAATGGATCGTTAGGTGGATTGGCAAGTTGGGAAAAGAAATATGAGCACTGAATGAACAGTACAAAATCATGATAAAATATATATTGTGTTACTAACTTTTAAAAGTGTCAGTTAAATATGTGAAAAACTGAAAGCTGTAACTTGAATAACCAGTTAACATAATAGGTGTATTCTGTACTGTTTTAAATATCTTACATTTGGCTTTTGATAAAAAACAATATATATATAATTCAGTACTTGGAATATTAAAAACCTAAATTGATAATGTACATAGCATATTGAGTGTGTTTGTTTGTTTTAAGCTAGATCTTCAATATTTGAAACTTTTTAGCATTTAATGTCCCACACACTGCCCCATATAAACACACTCCTTATTTTGTTGGTTTGTATCTGGTCACCCTACCCTGAATTGACAAAATTATGTTTTATGTTTTAAAGGTTGCACATAAAGGTGGCATGGTGGATCAGTTGGTAGAGGTGTTTTCTCTCAGCAAGAAGATTGCTGGATCGAATCCTGGCTGGGGACCTTTCTGGGTGGAGTTTGCATGTTCTCTCCGTGCATACGTGGGTTTTCTCCGTGTACTCCGGTTTCTTCCCACAGACCAAAAACAAGCATTTTAGACTGATTGGTAACTCTAAATTGTCCTTAGGTGTGAGTGAAAGTAAATGGTTGTTTTTTTGTTTGTCTCTATGTGGCCTGTCCAGGGTGTACTCCGCACAGTGACTGCTGGATATGGGCACCAGTGACCCCCGTGACCCAAAAAGGAAGAAGCGAGTAAAGATAAAATGGAATAAATGGATGGAAGGTTGCACATTTAAGTTAACACAATATCAGAATTCAATTCAATTCAGTTTATTTATATAGCGCTAAGTCACAACAGAAGTCGTCTCAGGGCACTGAACAGAAACATTCATACATAAAAAATAATAAGTTAACATTATTTATCTGAGGAGCAGACTGCTTTGAATTTAACTTCATCACAAAACTCTCATCTTGAGCAAGCATGAAGGTGACAGTGGAAAGGAAAAACTCCCTCATGAGGAAGAAACCTTTAGCAGAACCAGGCTCAGGACAAGCGGCCATCTGCTTCATCTGGCTGGGTTTGTGAGGAACAGATTCATAATGGCAGGTCAAGAATCACATGTTAATATAGAAATAGTAACAAATGAAAACTATCCAGTTAACAATTCATTTACAGAAATTAGATCAATTTGTCCTCCAGTAGTCTAAGCTTATGGCAGCATAACAGGCCAACCCTAACTATAGGATTTATCAAAAAGGAAAGTCTTAAGCCCAGTCTTAAAACTGGACAATGTGTCAGCCTTACGGACAGAAACTTTAAGTTGGTTCCACAAGAGAGGAGCTTGAAAACTTGAAGATCTTCCTCTCATTCTGCTTTTGAAAACTCTAGGAACTGCGAGTAAGCCTGCAGTCTTAGAGTGAAATGCTCTGTTAGGAAACTATGGAACAATAAGGTCTCAAATATAAAATTGAGCTAGATCGTTGAGAGCTTTGTAGGTTAGACGTAAGATTTAGAATTATATTCTGGATTTGACAGGGAGCCAATGGAGAGAAGCTAAAACTGGAGAGATATGATCTCTCCTACTAACTCCAGTTAAGACTCTGGCAGCAGCATTTTGGATCAACTATAGACTTTTTAAAGAAGTATGTGGACACCCAGATAAACCATTGCAACAGTCTAGACATGACAAATGCATGAACCAGCTTTTCTGCATCATTTTTAGCATTTAGCATTTTTAGAATGTTTACAACCATTTACCTATTACTAAGTACAGATTTAATTTGGACAAAGTATAACATGAGCTAATGAAAATGTTAGTACTGTACAGTAATTATGAACCGCAAAAATAACAAAGTGAATAAAAAAAGTGTTAGATATAATTTAAATTTGATGAGTTAAGGGATTGCCAGAGTGAATAAATTAAATAAAAGGAAAGATCAAAGAACAGAAAAGAGCATGGTGAACAATGCAAAATAACCCCCTTTTTGATAGGACAAAGTAGACAGACAATGGTGTTCTCACAGCAGCTTCATTGGTATTCCTAAAAGCATATTAGCGCTAATGATATTAAATCATAGCTGCTGGGAAAACAATAGCTTAAGACTGCAATATACTACTGCCATAGATTCCTCAGAGCTCTGTCTTTTAATTTATGCTTATAATGTCTCCATTTTTTACTCTTCAGAACAGCTTCACATTAGTGTTAGACTTTATGTATTGACCACCAAACAGATCACTAAATACCTAATGAGGTACGAATCAATACTGTTTGACAAGAAAACAAATCTGGTAAACAGAACCTTCCCACAGAACAATTTGAAGGGATTGCTTCAGACTGTACAGGTGTACCTAATAACACCTAGTACATGTACATTACTTTAGTACATGTAACTTAGAGAGGGTGTGTTCTTTAAAATGTGTGTAAATCTTAAGACATTGCTTTAATGTGTACATATTGGAGTTACCATGTTACATCAACCTACATACAGCTTGCCTGATTTGGTAAATGTGTCCACAGATTACGTCTTTTAGCAGAGTGGTCAACAAACCAGACAATTCTTATTGAGGGTGTCATGTGTGTTTCTTTTTTTCCCCCCCATGTTTCTCCCTCTTTTTCACTTTTCACAGTAAAGCTGTCAAACTGACTGTAGCAGCTATGAAAGCCATGTCAATTACAGAGGAGTCATGCTCAGTTTTATATTTAACACTGCGTTTAAGGTGTGCGATAGAAGGAATGACTGGTGGTTTGGGAGAGGAGGGGAGGGGCAGAGGGGACTTCAAAGCATGCTTTCAGGATAGGATTTTCTGCTTAAATCCACATACGGGAGGGGAAAAAAAGCTGGTATTATTTTTGTCTTCCAAGAAGCCTTAGCTATTTTAACAATCCAATCCATGTACATGGATGTTTGTAATATGGCTGTGGGGGTTTCTAATGCCAGAGGAGCTTTGTCTTCTGTCTATGTTCCACACTTGTTTTCATACAAACGCTGAGCGTATTCAATAGTAAAAGGCGAGGATTTAAGGCTTGCTGGAATGGATATGAATAACATAACTGTCTCATAAATACCATCTATACTACCGCCTTTGGATATAGAAAAGAACAAGTTATTTAGGAAGTCTGATTCGTCAAACAAAACAGCTTTTGGGTATTGTTAAATTCCCCTAAAGCTTCCATTCAGTTGCATACCTCTTTACATTGTGGGTCATGATCATTGGCAAATGTGCAATTCCTCACAAAGCTTGGTGTCAAAATCTATGAAGACAACGGAGAGGAAAAAATTGTTTATGAGAGGATTGAGGAGCTAAAGGCATCACTTTTATCTAAGTAACAATAAATAAACCAAAAAGGAGCCCTTGATGACTTACTGGGGATAAGGGAATGGGCTTCTCTCTCAAATACCTGGGGTTTTCAATCTGAAAAAGTAAACAGAAAAACTTCAGACCTCTCTTTTTCCTTTTCCTCTCTTAACAAAGTCTAAACGTTGCAAAATCTATTATTTGTCTCGAGTTTGCCATAAACAATGTGGAAAGCACATCAAAGCCCAGTTTTGTGGCTGGAGTCTCTTCCGTCAACTCTCGTCTGTTTAGAGACAGAATCATTGCGCGACTTCAAGGACTTTTGTGCGTGTGGTCAAACCTGCTTCCGCTCTCAGCTCCTTTTTGCTGTCCCTTTGTCAACACCAAGTACCGCTAATCCGTAAGCTATACCCACTCTGTTTACCATCACATGGAAACAAAAGTGAATGCATTCTTGCCCAAAACTGACTCAGCATATTCTTTGATTACAATATGAAGCATGAGGGACTAAAAAGAGCAAGCCGCTTAACCACCTGAAAGTAAGCGTGTCACGCTCCATGTGACTTAGCAGCGTTACATCAACATAGCTCACGAACTGTGACAGAAACTGTAAAAATATCTGTTGACAACCTGCTGTTTGGCTTCTGATGTTTGCTTATGACCCCAATACTTTCTTAAAAACTCACTCCATCAAAGAGCCTTTTCCTCTGATGCAAGGCAGCTGAAAGAGAGCAGCAAGATTCCAACTTTTCAAATTAGGAGCTCACTGACAACCAGTGAACATTTGCTCTGCTAATTTTCTTAACATGGACATAAAGGAGGTAAAAAGTGAGAAAGAGGCTAAAATGTGATTCATTTTAGTGTTAATCTAAACACATTTAAAACCAAGCGAGGCATTTTATTAGCCGACATCCTGCGACACCCTTTAGCAGAAAATAGATTACTTTTAAGATTTATAGTAAAAAATGCACATCCTTTTGTAACTGCAGAACTGCAGTAATGAGTGATGAACGTTTTTTAAATGTAGCTTTTAAAAAATTCCACATTTTTGAAGTCATGAAACAATCAATGTTTTTCTAAACTTGTGCCCGGGCTGAGAACTAGCCTTGGATTTCTTTTTATATCCACAGACAGCCAAGTCATCAGATTTGATTGAGCGCTGCCCACAGGGCAACAAAGACATGCAGACTAAATGCTGTGGTGTAATCCTGGCACTGCGCAATACTAAACTTGGACTTGATGCATACGTATGGCTGTGCATGCAGTCTTTTCTGTGTGCCCACACACAAGCTCCTCTGAGCACATGTTTGTCTAGACTCACAGCTGGCACCGGGTCCAGCGTCACTGGGAACTGACAGAGCTGGATGATGAATGCGTATGAGGAACAATCACAAAGAGCAGGCTCAGCAATCAAACGTACACACCAACAGTTCCCCGATTTCAAAATAGTACTGAGCTACTGTTGGCCTATTGAATCCAATAAATCACATGTATTAGCCAAGAGCTTTGGTTTGACACATAACATAAATCTTGTTTTTGTCCTTTTTTGGCAGGACAAATAAATTTTGCGCAACCATATTTTTCTACCCTACAAGAGGTAAAACTATACAACCAAATAAAGGAAACTACCGTATTTTTCGGCCTATAAGTCACGTTTTTTTGCATAGTTGGCATGACCTGCGACTTATAGGTTGAAGCGACATATTTATCCATTTCTTTTCCCATATATTATATATATTTATAAACCAATTTTGGCTGAGATATGACTGTTTTCATTTATTCTGACTGAATTTTTTGTAACAGTACCATTTTCAGCCACTAGATGGGAGCAGAGTAGTAGTAGCAGAATGTGCTGGTGAAGATTCTCAGTCATCCAGGACATGATGAATTCAAAAAGCGTTCAATACAAAAACAACTGGACTTTATTTGTAACAGAAGACGTTTCGCTCCTCATCCGAGGAGCTTTCTCAATTCAAAGAGCAGAGAGTGAGAGATACAGGTTATAAGGCTGAGTGAGAAAAGACACACACATAAGACACACACACACACACACACACACACACACACACACACACACACACACACACACACACACACACACACACACACACACACACACACACACACACACACACATACTGTATATGTAGATTGGCAGTTCACACCTAAAAAAACCTAAACAGTAGGTCTTTGTTCCTCTAATTCACAGTCGAGGCCCCTCTGTTCCCATCAGGTGTGAAAAACGGCTGGGAATCTGTTTTAAAGTTGCATTATATGTTTTTGAAAGTGGAAATCTGAGGCCTCCTCCTCTGTTAAGAGACGGCTTTTCTCTTTTTACATAAATTGCTTCCTTCACCCCCCTCTCAAACCATCTGTGTTCTCGGTCCAAAATGTGCACATTTTGGTCCTCAAAAGAGCGTCCCTTATCTGTGAGATGGAGGTGAACAGCTGAGTCTTGTCCTGTGGAGCTGGCTCTCCTGTGTTGAGACATGCGTCTGTGAAGAGGCTGTTTAGTTTCTCCAATGTAGAGGTCTGGACAGACCTCGCTGCACTGGACCGCATACACTACACCACTCTGTTTGTGTATGGGTGTTTTGTCCTTAGGGTGGACCAGCCTCTGTCTTGAGAGTCCTGCTGGGTTTGAAATGTACTGGGATTTTGTGTTTGTTGAAGATCCTTCTGAATTTCTCTGATACTCCAGCAACATAAGGGATGACAATGTTTTTACGTCTGTTGTTCTCCTTTTTCTGTTTATTGGTGTGTTTTGTAGATTTCCTCGCTGACTTGACAAAAGCCCAGTTAGGATATCCACATGTTTGAAGAGCTTCTTGAACGTGTTTCAGTTCCTTTTCCTTCCCTTCTGTCGTCGTGGGGACGCATTCGGCCCGATGTTGTAAAGTTCTGATGACAGAGAGTTTGTGTTCCAGTGGATGGTGGGAGTCAAACAGAAGATACTGGTCTGTGTGGGTTGGTTTTCTGTAAACTTCAATGTTGAGGCTGTCCTCTCTTTCCATCTGAACCAAACAGTCCAAAAAAGGCAGCTTGTTGTCGTTTGCATCCTCTCTGGTGAACTTGATGTTGTTATCGGCCGAGTTAATGTGTCTGGTGAACGCTTCTATTTTCTTAGCTTGGATTTTGACCCAGGTGTCATCCACATAACGGAACCAATGGCTTGGCGTTGTTCCCTCATAGGAGTGTAGGGCTCTCTGTTCCACTTCCTCCATGTAGAGATTGGCAACAATGGGTGACACTGGAGATCCCATGGCACAGAATGGGTAGCAGAATGTCATGCTGTTTTATCATGTAATAGGTAAACGTGGCTATAATGACAAATTCCAAAAAGTTCAAGACAAAAACAACTGGACTTTATTTATTATACTTTATTGTTTTTGTCTTGAACTTTTTTAAATTGACCATGTCCTGGATGACTGAGAATCTTCACCAGCTATTAATGACACAATCGGCTTGCCATAGACTTCCACCTTCGTTCTGCTCGCTGTTTGGAGCAACCATCAAATCAGTTGCACCGCCCCGGCGAAATGCAGCTAATTTAACTATTAAAGTGCATTTATTAAGTAAAAGTTCAACTGAGACAACTTTGCTACAATTTCAAGCAAACAAATAATTGTTTTAGATGCGTTTCTTGTTAAATTTTGAAGAAACAAGCAGCGTTCCTCCTTATTTTTTTCCTCCCTCTGCGTGCTCCCAGAGCACCTAGGCAGCGAATACAGCTGATTTGACCGTTAAATTCAATTCAATTCGATTCAAAAAGACTTTATTAATCCCAGAGGGAAATTATTATTATTAAAGTGCATTTATTAAGCAAATTTTAGACAGACACGCATTTACTATAATTTCAAGCAAACAAATAATTGTTTTTAAGTGTTAATCTTGTTAAATTCTTGTTAAAGTCCTCCTGTTCATGCTCCCGCGGCCGCAATTTGGCAGCCCATTGATTTTTGGCACAACACTGGCCCACATTTCCGGGATCAGCCCACATTTACGAGTTGTCAGCGGTGACGCGAAACAAACAACGCGTCAGTGGTGATGCATAATAGATGCGACGTATACGGAAAAGCGACATTATTTATGGATTTTTCAACTTTTTTAGACATATTTGGACTGATGCGACTTATAGGGCGGTGCGACGGGTACGGTGGAAAATACGGCACACTAACAAAAGGTTGAAACAGGTGGTGGTCCAACTGAATCAGTTTTTTTTCTTTGCAATAACGTCAGAATCTGAAACAATCTGTCATCTTGTGTCCAGGACAAGCCACCATTTTGATTTCATTACATTGGAGTGAAAATGAATGACAAACCAAAGTTTAGTCAAAAAATAGACCGTTTCAAAACGTAGAAATGAAACCAGGAGATGCTCCAGTTGGAGTGAAGCTTGGCTGTGCTGAAATTTCGTAGAAGTTGGGCACTTTGAAGCAGCACATCTATAAAACTTGAGGAGGGTTTATGCGTGCGTGCGTGTTTGTGTGTGAAGGAACATCTGTTGATTTGAAAGATGCAGGCTTGGGGGAGCGTTGCCAAGCAATGCCTCTTATCGGCATTTCAACACAGAGGAGAGCAGAGCGGTGCTGTGCACGGCTTCACGTCTGCTGATAGATTCCTCAGATTACTCTAAGACTGGAAGAGAACGGGAGAGCAGAGAGAGTCAAAGAAGCATGGACAGAGAAGAAAGACAGAACAGAAAAGAAACCAAGAAAGAGTTTGAGAAGTAGAGCAGAGGGGGTTCAGCGAAAATACCAGTGTGTAGGCATGTAGGAGAAAGTCAGAAGTGGGCAAATAAAAGAGAAAGGCAGAGTTGGGGTCATGCAGGTAAGGAGATAAGAAATAAAAGACATAAGGGCAGGTTGCTTATCAAACCCTGACCTGGAGCTGTCCAGACAGAGAAGATAAAACAGGTGCACTTATCCTCAGTTCCACAGTTTATACAACCCTCACGTACTACCATAGAGTGAAATACCAAAAGGAGGAGACTTCAAAAGGACACAAGTAAAAGGTCTGTTTTCATCATTTGTTCAGAAGTGTATAAGCTGTAACTCAGTCCCTGCACTGCTGGGGCTCAGGGTGCTTCAGTCAGTATTCTGGAGACTGATCATTTACTGCTAAAAGCACGATCGGCCAACAAGATTAGAACATGGCCTAACTATAAATATACTGAACTATCCTTAACCAGATATGAAGTATATTGAGATGTTTTTTTCTTCTTCTTTTGGCTGCTCTCTTCCTCAGGGGTCGTCATAAATGAACTAACTCACAAGAAGACTTGGCAATTGTTTTTATGCCGGATGCCCATCCTGACTCAACCACAGACCATCGAGCTACCACAGCCCTTTGTGTGGAGCAGAGAGCTGCCATCTAGGACTCGCGGAGAGCAAATGGTTAAGGGCCTTGCTCAAGGGCCCAGACTGGGGCAAACGAGGGTGGAGGCAGGTGTCGGTACTTTACCTTTCCTCACATATTTTGATGTTGTCAGTCCAGGAGGGTCAAACCAGCAACCTTCAGTTCACAGGCTCATCTTCTCCAACCTTTGCACCACTACTCCCCCCATGCAGTATATTGAGATAATATGAGTAAATAAAAAAGTACCATAAATTGACATGTGTATTTAGTGCTAGGAAATAGCTGCACGGTTTTTAATTTTATTTTTGTGATTGAAACAAATAATAAAACAGTATCTGCCAACTTAAATCAATAAGCTTTAGTACAAAACCTGTTAGCATGAATGCTACATGGACACAAAAAATAATTTAAAGAAGTATGAAAGCCATATATTAAAATATGTACAGTGAAGTTCAGTGGAAAGGTTATTAACACCTTACTTGATTTATAAAACTAAAGAGCCTCAGTTGGAGAATTTTTGATTAGCTTTGATTAGACTGATGAGCTAACGGCTAGTCAGAGCAAGGTCAAGACCGGGGCAGTCTTCTGTCTTAAGACAACTTGGATTTTAAAATAGCAGTTTGTGCAAACACCATTTAGTAAACCTTTTTCATCACTGCCAGTTTCACAATAAATTATTATTTACATAAAAACTTTGTAAACAAAATTAAAGACAGCGGCAAAAGTTAATGGTAACACTTCCAGAGCAGTGCAGCACTTCAGGCAGGACTTTTGACAATATTTATTCAGGAATAAACATTATTCCTGTTGCAGCCCAGCATCACACTGGGCTCCAACTGGAGGAGACGTGTCCTGTGGCTGTGTTTGAAATGTCACCAATTTGTTAAAATCATAACTTTTTTCATGTTTACAGTCTGAAAAACTGTATTCAAGTCCATATACATATTTTTTATTGCCCTTATCAAACTCACCTCAACTTCTTATCCACCTTGGCAGTCATCCACACGCTGATTACGCTTTTGAAATGAAGCAGACGTTTCGAGACATTTTAGAAATTCTCCTATAAATGCTCTTCGCCTTAATGCACATCTTTTACACATAGTTTTTAAACTCCCATGTGTTAAACACAAAACAACTGTTTGTTCTGACTTCCATATGTTCAGGGCCTTCCCCTGCATTAATAAAAAAAGTTTTGGGTCGGAGTAACCTTTGCTCATGCGGATTTTTTTGTAAGCCGTTCAGAACCACAGCCCCCTCAGAGGCGCAGCACGCTGACAGCTGCAAGCAGCCATGAAGCACAAGATGTGCTCCTGGACTCACCCCCAGGTTCCAGCTGTTAAGACGAACCTCCAGGTCACTGTCATCAGAAGGCACGTTTGCTTTTAGCACTCCATGCACCTGAGAAGGGGACAAGAAGGGGGTAAAAGGTAGCATGAAGAGCAAGAATATAACAGAACTTAAGAAGGCTTGATTTGATTTATGGAATGGATGGAATCTAAATGATGCTGCCAACATTTTGATCGTCTGTTTGGCTCAAGAAAGCAAACAGCAGAAACTGATGAAGGTTATTTCTGTCTGCTGATGTGCTGTAATCCCCATCTTGGCAACAACAAAAGATTTCTTTAAAAGTTAACAGACAGAAGATTCGCCCTCATGTGCTTTCCTCCCAAACAGACAGCGCTCTCCTCCCCAGTTATCTCCACATCAACCTTTTTCTGCTTCTCTCCTTCGAACACACAGCTCTCCAGATGTCCAGCAGTTCAACATCATTTCCATCATACAGTAAATTCCACAGGAGTGGTATGTGCAGCCCGACTGCCTGACATTTGGGTTTTCTCCAGTCTTTTGTAAAAACTGAGATCTGGATTTATTTTTTACTCAACGATACAAAAGCTTCCAGGGGTTTCTTCTGATTAAAATGTTGTTCACATTCCAAGGCTTCAACCTCAAACAGAGTAAAAAATTTCATTTCAGTATTTAAAAATGTTGGGTGCACAGCTGATTTTAGTGCCAGAAACTCAAAGCATTGACTATAATTGTTGTATATTGTATATAATACTTAATGGAATTTTAGCAGTCATCCTAAGCAACAACTTGATCAAAAGAAAGTATTGCCAAGCTGTGTCAATACTTCACTAACAACTAAAAGCATATTTTTATATCTGTAAATTATAGTTCAGATCTTTTGAAGTGGAATTTTATGGAAAGTTTACGAACAATTAATATCTTATCTGTTGTAGATAGCTATTTTACACACCTCAGATTAGATAAATTAAGAGTTTAATGCAGAATAGATAGTTGAGTTAATGGTTGGTCTGAGCTGGATCAAAACCATCATCTGTCAGAGTCGGACAGTTATTCTGACAGAAACATTATGCTAGTTCTGTTAGATGTGCTGCAGGCTGCCTCGTGTTAGTGCTATAGCTAGCTCCTGACATTTGCACTTGCAAATAACCACAGACTTTTTTTTATGCGTTTGTCAATGTGTTATTTGTGTTCTATAATGTGAAATAAATGACAAAGGTTTATTAATTAGTGTTTGCATGAACTACTTTGAAGTTTTTTAGACTGGAGTGTGACAGCAGCAGTCATCATTGGCCGTGGCCTTCCTCAGACTAGCTATTAGTTTGTCAATATTGGGGGTAGTGGTGGTGCAGAGGTTGGAGAAGGTGGGCCTTTGATTGGAATGCTGCAGGTTCGACTCCCGAGACGGAGAACATCAAAATGTGGGTGGAAAAGGTGGAACATCCACACCTGCTTTCACCCAAATTTGCCCCACTCTGGGCCCTTGAGCAAGGCCCTTAACCCACACCTTCTGCTACCCAAATAGGTCTCTCTTGAAAATGAGTTCTCATGACTTGATGTGGCTCTACCTGTATAAATAAAGGTTTAAAAAAAAAAGTCCAAATTAACCTGTTTTTTTTTTTTTTTTTTTTCAACCTGAGGTCATTTACTGAGCTATCCAAAACAGGTAAGATATTTGTTCCTAAACTTGCCACAGAACCACACCCAACAAGATTTGAACTGCCAGTTTAGGATTTGTTTAGAGGAAACCTACAGCTTAGCCCACATTAATTTGAGCCACGTGTATCTTGTGATCACAGTGATTTGAAGTCAAAGTTAAATGCACAGCGATCTCAAACCAAACCTCTTTTTAAAAATTATTTTCTTAGAAGAATCAACGTTGGAGAGCCTGGAATTTCCTCAGACTTTAAAATGTAACAAAGCAACGTGCATCATTTAAACTGGTGCAGCAAGGTTTAATGTGAAATTTAAATATGTGATTAAAACTATATTATATTCACTAATTCTAAAAGCTGTATTTGAAGAAGTCCAGGGGTGCAGCTGGCTGTGTGTTGATAAACTAACCATTCTGGCATCTCGTCTGGGTGCCTGCTCAAGTGGACTGGTGGACAAGACTTGGTTCTCCACATACAGTCTTCTCCTGAAAGAGAAAAAATGACAAACAGAAGGGTAATATATTAACCTACAGCGCACACATGCATATTTCCCTGCTGTGCTTGTTTCCCTCTTAGCATTTGGACGTGCACAAATCGGCGGCCCGCCTTGACGTTTGTGCAGATCAACATCTGGCAATGGTTGCATGGTTTGTGGTCTGCAATTCATCCCATCTGAACAATAAATGTCTCTGCCATACTTCACTCTGTTTCCGTGCACAACACATGGAGAACCAGTCTGTGACTTGAACTATTCGTTCGTAATCACACACGTCCATGACTGCTTCTCATCACGTCTGTCATGGTAGTTAAAAAGAAAAAAGCAGCTTTACAGGAAAGCTGCTGATTGTAAGTGACACATGTGCAGACAGGCACCGTTAGATTTCTTATTTTCAGTGTCTCTCACACCCAACATGCACATGCACACTTAGAGGGCCATAACTGAACTAACAATCTCATTAAGTGCAGGCACACGAGACATTATTAGCCCACTTGTGCTGATTAAATGAATGAATGTTGAAATGAAACCACAGGGAAGAAAAAGACTGTCGACATATAAAGATGATTCCAGAGGGCACTGTTCCACACTTTTACACAGAGTCGAAGGCGTTGTGTTTTTCTCCTCTGCACGTTTATTTTTTCTTTTAGCATCCCCGTTACTGTTATTGAGACTTATTGTGTGGGAACAATACAGAACATACAATTATTTCATCTTCTAACAATACTGAATAAAATATTTCTTTAATATCCAGCCATTATCTTTATCCGCTTCTTCCTTTTCAGGTCGCGGGGGTAACTGGTGCCCTTATCCAGCAGTCACTGTGCGAGAAGTGGGGGACACCCTGGACAGGTCCACGTCCATCACAGGGACACAGACAAATGAGATGAACTACCCTTCGTTCTCTCACTCACACCTAGGGACAATTTAGAGTTACCAATCAGCCTAACATGCATGTTTTTGGTCTGTGGGAGGAAACCGGAGTACCCGGAGAAAACCCACACATGCACGGAGAGAACATGCAAACTCCACCCAGAAAGGTCCCCGGCTGGGATTTGATCTGGCGACCTTCTCGCCGAGAGGCAACAGCACTACCAACTGTGCCACCATGCCGCCCACAAAGTTCTTTAATAAATTTTGTTTAACCTTAAACAACAAATGAGTACTCACATCTGTGGAAGTGGGTGATCTAACATTTACATAACATGTTTATATAAAACCTTTTAAAACACAATTACAGCAACGTTGCTAAGAAGTTTGGTTCTTTATGTAATATTAACCTGCAGCACAAAAAATGTTAAATCATGTAATATGGAAAAGTTTCTGCCTATTTTCTTAAAAATAAAATAAAATAATGGATTTTAGAAAGTTAATCTAATGTAATGTTATCTTTTGTCTTTTACTAATGGTTGAGTGTTAAGTGTTATTATATATATATATATATATATATATATATATATATATATATATATATATATATATATATACATATAAAATGGGTAGTTTGATTATTTTTGAAGTGATGTTCTATCAACAGTTATGAATAGTTAGTACATAGTTAGTACCTTACCAGCTGTGAAATCAGCAATACAGAATGCTGATCAGTCCACCCGATCAGTGTGTTTCATCAGTTCAAGTTCAGAAGTTGACTTAACTCATGGCAGACTGATACACACCTAAAGCTGCCTAAAGACACATGTGTTTGCATATTAACACATTGTGAGAAATCAGCAAGAAAATAAACTAAGTGTCATGCAAAAGTGTAGAGGTTTGTTTTTAGTTAATGAAGTGCACCATCACCCCGGTGTCATATTTCGAACAAGAGTTGGGGTTGAAATGTAGTCAAGCCTGGCTAGCTGTTACACACACACACAAATGCACATGCACATGCACACACACACACGCACGCACACACGCACGCACGCACACACACACACACACACACACACACACACACACACACAGCAATGAAACTTGGACAGGAGGGGCAAACTTCACAAGTTTGGGCCTCTAAGTCAACAGGTGGATGAAGATAATTGAATCAGATGTGTCTGGAGTCTGAGGCCCACAGATCAAAGCAATGGCAAGTCAGGCCAGAGCAACACACACATGCACACACACACACGTGCACACACAAAATGAGAACTCCACTACATTGAGCCTCAGAAGCTGCATCTCGGCTGATTAAAGCAACCTGACATCCAAACTCCAGCCTGACCTCCAGGTGCAGAGCCAGCGGGTCCAGGTTTGAGACTCAAGCACCCCCAGAAAAACAGTCAGACCTTGGGACACAATCACCCCCATGACCCTGCACACCTTCTAACCATAAGCCAATACCACACAAAGAAAAGATCAGTGGAGGAACTAGCGAGGCATTTACGTCAATATAAACAACTAACTCGCACAAGTGCAAATACAATGATAGTGTCACACACCTACACTGAAGGAAAGATGAAAATCCAGGAGGGTGATGGGACATGGAGAGTTAAGAGTTGTCATATGTGCATGGAAAACAAACAAATGAAAGACAGATGCCAGAGGGACAAAAAATAAAAATAAAAACAATGAGTAAAATCAAGTGGCAACAACTTAGAGACAGAAGTATTTGGAAATTAAAATCACTTTCTAGAGGAGAAAAAGAGCCTTGTTTACAGGATCCTGTCAAAGCACCCACATTATCTGTATTTTCTCAACACAAGGTGAAAGCTGGAGCGGACATAAACAAATCACAAAAGATGTTTTTGCTCCAGCATTCCTCTGCATAAACACGTGCGAGCCAAAGCAGTGGCGCCATCTTGTGGCTGGGTTGGGAATACCACAGGGATTTTTTTTTTTTTTTTGTCAAGAGGTCAAATGATGTACAGTATACTGTATAACACAAACATTACAGCCAAACTACCTCTGTTCAATGCTGCATTTGTTCAAAAAAAGAAGAAATAATCTAAACTTGCATTCAGTCTTGAAGAAGTATTCACACTCCATGAACTTTTTTCCCCATGTTGTTACACTACAACCACAATTTTCCAAATGTTTCCTGGGATTTCATGTGATAGGCAAACACAAAGTAGTGAATAATTGTGAAGCAGAAGGAAAATGTATAGTTTTCAATTTATTTTTACAAATAAAAACCTTAAAACTGTGGTATTTTTTGTATTCAGCCCTCTTTACTCCAATGTCTCGAACTACACTCCAGTATAATTAATCTGCAGAAGTCACCTAATTAGTAAATAGAGTCCAACTGTGTTTATTTTATTCTCAGTGTAAAAAGAGCAGTTTTAAAGGACTGAAGGGGAAAGGCCCGAATGACAGGAAATCTATGTACAAAAAACAATTAATTAATTAAAAAACAAGACAAGGTAACACTAATCTATTAATCTATGAGTCTACTCGCACATCCTTTAGTTAGTGTCTAGGAAGCTAAAGGTGAAGGTCTTGGAGGGACTAGAAGCAGTAGTTTGTGATCTTTTTTACTTAATCTAACTTGGTTTGGGAGTCCTTAAGAAGAAATGTTTAAGTACCACACAGTGAGGCCACAGTGGGCCTATTTATAGTCTCTAACCATCTTCCTGTGAGGTGACAGCACTAAGCGCTGCTGCGCCTAATCATGATGACATAATTCCACAGCTGACAGAAAACTTTGGATTAAATATGGCAGCAGTGGGGTTGTACTCTCTTATGCAGTGCCCCAGTGTATATTAAGCTCTCCCTACTACAGTGCTCTCTTTATTATGCTAATGAGAACACAAAGCCACTGGGCTCTGAATTGCCTCTCCTTCTTAATTGGAATATAAAAAAAAAAACATGAGCCATTAATAACATCACTTTGTCGAGCTTGTGAACTGCCTGCAGAAAGAAGAAATATCCCTGAGCACGTTAGGATGGCTGATGATTTAGTAAAGGATGTTAACTTTACATGCTACAAATGGCTGCCTGCCTCAGTAAATGAACAGTGCGTCTTCATAAAGTCAGAGTCAGAGTCAGAGATTCTTTATTGTCATTCGCACCTCATGTGGTACATGTGGTGGAGCGAAATTATGTACACGGGGTCCCAGTTACATCCAACAATAAAATGTCTAAGAAAAACAGTAATAACATCTAAGATATGAACTAAGAAAAACATCAACTAAATATACACTAAGCACTCATAACATAAAACATTGAACATCAGCACAAACATGAACATGAGTCTGTGAGCAGATGTGCACGCATGAACACATCAACATTGAAACAGATCAGCAGCAACATGAAACAGATCAGCAGCAACATGATATGGTTTTTCACAGTGATTATTCTAGTTAGATATTCATGAGTCTAACAGCCTCAGGGTAGAAGCTGTTCCTCAGTCTAGTGGTTCTACACTTAATGCTCCTTAACCTCCTTCCTGAGGGGAGTGGGGCAAAAAGTGCAATTCAAATTAAAGTCAAAAACGCCTTCGTGTTTTGGCCTTTTTTTTTTTTTTTTTTTTCACGTTCAAAAATCCAATAGAATCTGAAATGTTTTAAGAAATAGAAAACATACTAAGGAGCTCCTCAGCTTTGTGGGGTTTACAGCTCAGGTTCAACAAGTAGAAAATGTGAAGCGAAAAGAAACAGAAAGATGGGTAGGGCGTATGAAACGTTCCTTATCCTCTCCGGCTGTTTTGAAGTTATTTCTCTTTGGAAACTCTTTGACTGGACAGCTCATGAAGACTGATGCAAGAACCAGGCAATGCCTTTGGCTGTTCAGATAAGGCTTCTGAGTAAATATGATGGGCAATCAGTCAGAAAAGTTAAGGTTCACGACTTCAGTCTGATGGGAGTTTGAAGTAGACTACTCTGACAAACACCTTGTCTATCACAGTAAACATCTCCTCAAACGATAAGGCATTAGCTATAAAAGGAAAACTAATTATTTTCTTTTCCTCACCATTTTTTCCTGTAAGATTTCATTAGATTAGTAAAACCTCTTACTTCATTTTAACAACTAAAACACACTTAAAGATGTAAAAATGCGCCGGGCTCCAATTGAAAAAGGAATAATCAATTTTAGTTCCCAGGTTGGCTAAATATAAAAGGTTTATTCCTTAAATAATCAAGATCAAACTGTTTATGTCAACTATCAATCAATATACTTTTGCTGTAATATAAGTTATGTACTTTCCATTTACTAATTATTAGAAATAAAACCATTTGTACCTTTTTTTTATAATTTTAATCCATTTTAAAATGGTATAGGCTTGTTAAACCTCTGTTCAGCACCTGTGAACCTTTTCCAAACTGAACTGAAACGGTCTCATCAGTGGCAGAGCGCTGAAATACGACATTCAAATGTGATCAGGAAGCAGATCATAAAGGTTTATGAGAGGATGCGATCATCATTTATGATGGTGCATCCATCCATACATCCATAATCTTTACCCGCTTCTTCAGACAATTCAAAATTATAAAAACAAATTAAATGTTTAGAATTCCATGAAGGAATGTATATGACCTGCTGCTGCCTTTCAGGACAGAGTTTTAAACTAGTTAAAGTAATTTTGGTCAAAACTTGTAAATGATGTCTTGCACATTCTCCTGCAACATTGGAAGCTCTTGGGAGACGCGTTAGTGCTCAGATTATATGTTCAGGATCCATCTAAGCTACTACATCCCACATCTAGTGGTTTGAGAGATTTTTTTTAGTAACACACACATGCAAAAACATTATAGTCCACAGTGGGCAACAATGCAATGTCTTCTGGTACTTGTATTTTACTTTTACGCTGTAATATTTATAGTGTGAATGTTTATGAAACATTCACACTATTGTGGTGCATATTTCTTCTGTACGTTTTTCAGCATCTTTCTCGTTCCACAATTTGTGCTATTTTAACAAATCATACATCAAAACGTTCAGCTCTTTCAGGACAATCCTGCTATGGCTTTTGGTATTGGTGCAGCTTTAGCTTTTTGAAACATTTAGCCTTTTCTGCCATTTTTATCTCAGAAAATTAAGTGAGTTCATTTGGCATCCTTCATATCTTTAGCTCTGTTTACAACCTTTTACTGCTCCTTTCACATTTTGTTCTGCTTCAGCTTCTTTCAGCTTCCTTGTGCAAATTTAAAAAAATTTTCAGCTGTTTTGTGCTCCTTTCACATTATTTTTGCTAACTACATTGTGTCTTCTAACTTATTTCTGCTAATTTCAACTTATGCTCCTTTCAGCTTATCTCTACAAGTTGCAGGTTTTGTGTTAATTTTAGCCTTTCACATTATTTGCACACATTTCAACTTTTTTCAGCCTAATTCAGCAAAAATTTGCTCTCTCCACTTCCTTCTGGTAATTTAAGCTTTCTGCCTTTTAAGATCCTTTTCAACTGTTTTTGGCAAATTTCTTTTGTTTTCCAGATAATTTCCACTTCTTTGTGCTCATTTCTGCTTCTTTTAGCCTAACTGGGCAAACATGTTCTTTCTGCTTTCTTCTGTTAATTTAAGCATGTTCTATCTTTCAGCTATAATTTTAGCATTTTTAGCTAATTTCAGCTGTTTTCTGATAAATTCAATTTTTTTTTTGTGGTAATTTCTGCTACTTTCAGCCTAATTAACTTATGCTAATTTCAGCTTGTTATGTTCCTTTCGATTGCCAGACATGGGCACCGGCGACCCCCGTGACCCAAAATGGAAGCAGCGGGTAAAAGATAATGGATGGATGTTCCTTTCAGATTATTGTTGTTAGTTTTAGTTATTTCAGCTACTATTTACCTGTTTTGTGCAAATTTTAGCTTTTCAGTTAATTCCATATTTGTTAGCTTATTTAGGCTCTTTCCACTTCCTCCTGATAGTTTAAGCTTCTTTCTGCCTATTCAGCTACCTTTTTGCTGTTTTTACTTATTTCAGCTTTTTTAAAGCCATTTCCTAATTTTTGTGCTAATTTCTGCTTATTTAAACCTAATTCAGCAAATATGTGTTCTTTCTGCTTTCATTTGATAATTCAGGATCGCTCTTCCATTTCAGCATGTTTTTAGCTAATTTCAGCTGTTTTTCAGCAAGTTCTCCTGCAATAAGCATTCACACTGCATTTTCGCAGAAAATGCAATTTCTCTAGTTCTTAGTAACTTGATAAACATAGATTGTTCTAAAACGACTTTTGTTCTAAAAGTTTGAAAAAGATTCATTAATGTTTGAACGCCTGTAGCTCTGACAGAAACCAACCTGTGAGGAGCTGTAACTGGTGTAGAACTGGGTCTGTCCTTGAGTTGATCCATAGCTAAACTGTCCACAGAACAGCCACTAAGCTCTCCTGTCACCCATTCAGGCAGATCTCTGTTGCTTTGCTCTCCAGACCGACCACTCAGTGGCTCATCAAAGTAGATGGACTGCAAAATAAAACGTATTATAAATCATCATGAGAATGGTTTAAAAATGTGTGTTTAAGCAGATATACAGTACTGTATAGCATTGCAACTACAAAATTAAAGTTTGTTTTTAATGGACTTGAGTTATGCAAAGTAAATCTAACTTTGACAAAATGCCATTTCACTGTAACACAAATAAAATGTGGTGGTAACCAGGTATATTTTCATACTGCTACAAAAAGAACAAAAACTGTTACAGAATATTCATAATTTATTATTGAGATCAATCTTACCATGTAGGCAGGAAGTGTCTTGAGGCTCCCAGGCTCTGGTTTGCTGGTGAACGGTCCCTCCAGGACACCTCTTTTGAGCATGTGGAGGAGCAAACGGGTGTACAAGTTGCGGTTTTTTCGATCCGTCAGTCCTGAACCACATGCAGCTGGGTCACACAGCTTCTTTATCCATACGGCACAACGCTGGCGTTCTGACATGAGGTGGAGTAAATGGTATTTACTTACAGCTTTTTACAAACATCACATTGTACGATTTACTGAAACACAACATAAGAAATATTACTTTCCTGACAAACACTGTAGTTGTATTCAAATTACAGATAACATTTGAGTAGATCACATTTTTCACATCTCTGCTAATATCTGCATTCCTTCTTGAGTTAGTGAATGAGACTGTTGTGTAGTCATATCAGTATTTTCATATAATAATGGAGTATAATTTAAAAGTTAATGTTTTTCAGTAATTCAATTCAGATCACATCGTCATTACACACAGAGTGATATTTTGTGTTTATGTTCTATTCAATTTGATAATTCATCTTAATGCTAATAAAAGCCCAAAATTCAGTTTATCACTAAATTTAATTGCATAAGACCAACAGATTGACAAAGCATGGACTTATCTGAAGTCAAAGCTTACATCCATGACATGAGCTCACTTGTCATGAATCGGTCACATCCCTTTAGTCGAGCTGCTCCTGAACCAGAAACGTCAGAAGTGTCTTTCCTGAGCTAAGGAGAACAAAGTATTGGACTGTTGCTCAGTGGTCCAATGTCCTCCTTTCAGATGAAAGTAAGTTTTGCATTTCAACTAGAAATCAAGGTCTCAGAGTCTGGAGGAAGAGTGGAGAGGCCCAAAAAAGTTGCATAATGTCCAGAGGGAAGTTTCCATAGTCAGCAATGACTTAGGGAGCCATGTTCTCTGCTGGTGTTGCTCCACTGGGTTTTGTTAAGTCCGAAGTCGGCACAGCTGGCTACAGCAACATTTTAGAGCACTTTATGCTTCCCACTGTTGACAGGCTTTATGGAAATGCCAATTTCATTGTCCAGCAGGGCACCTGCTCATATTGACAAAAGTACCAATGCCCAGTTTAATGACCATGGTGCTACTGTGCTTTACTGGCCAGCAACCTGTCCTGACTTTAACCCTACTGGGAATTTATAGAGATTTGTCAAGAGAAAGATGAAAAACACCAGACCCAAGAATGCAGATGAGCCGAAGGCAACTATTAGAGCAACCTGGGCTTCCAGAACACCTCAGCTGATCCACAGGCTAGCTGCCTCCCCACCATGTCACACAGCACTGATGATTCATATACTGCACTGCATGCGTATAAAGTACAGTGCACAGACAAACTTTTGAGAAGGCTATATTAAAAATTATTTTTAATTGGTTCTATATAATAGTCAACTTTTCTGAGAGTGTTTTGGGTTTTCATTTGCAGTACGCCATAATCAAAACAAGAAACAAATGCTTGCAATACCCCACTGTGCACTGGTGAAGATTCTCAGGCATCCAGATCACGGAAAAGGTTAAAAACAAAACAGCTGGACTTCCATGCACACTACATGTAGTTGAAGACGTTTCGCTTGCTATCCGGGAGGCTTTCTAATAAAAAAAAAAGAACATTTTCGATCCCTTTGTGTGTAATGAACCTGTATATGAGCTGAATTATTAGAATAAATATGAACTTTTCATTGAGACTCTTGTTTATTGTCCCTGTACTGTCTCCCATCATATTCTGCAGTTGCAATAAAACCTCACCTGATTTGTTGGGGTGTTTAAGCACATATGGTTTCATGTCCAAGAGAAAATGGTCAAACTCGGTGTCCAGCTTTTCCCATGAGTCCTCGCGTTTCTTCATAGTGACCTGAGGACGACATTTTTAACAGAAAACAAGCTAACGGGCCGTAAATATTAGGTTTAAAAAAACTGCCTACTCTACGATAAAAATACGATTAGTTTATTTTTCACTAAATCGCTCAGTTTAACGAAAGGGCGGTTTTATGAAAGGGCGAAAGCTCTCGGGTTGCCATGACAACGCAGGTATTCTGTTCAGATTTTCTGAGGAACTAGCTTCACTGTTAGCCGAGCTAAAACAAGACAACCTTGCTATTCTTCGCCTTTGTTTCGTGTTGTCTCCTCCCTCGTTACCATAAATAGAACAGTTCTAAAACAAAACAAAAAAACCGCTAGAACGCAAACGAAACTGCAAACATCTCACCTGGGAAGGGAATTGTCCGGAGCACCAACTTCGCCGCTCAAATGACTTCAAACTTTAGCGTCCTCATTTTGCGTCACATCCGTTTCCGCAGAAACCCAAACAACAGAGCTGCGTATCCTGATGCATGCTCAGCAGAGCAGCGTATCCTGATCCATGCTCAATAGAGCAGC